CCTGGGGGACTCGCCACGGAACGTGCCAAGGAACGTGCCAGGTGTCTCATCATCGGACGGCATATGGGATGCTGGGAGCGGGACAAAGGGGGAGGTGGGAGCTCTTTTGCACGCACGTGTGAGAGCATGAGCCTAAAAGGCTAGTACAGATGCGAAAAGGGAGGAGGGGTAAAGGACGGAGAGAAAGACCTCGGGGAACCCACGAGGGCCCAGGGAGGCCCGAGGGGGACAGCGGGACTAACTCTCGCGGCCTTTAACCCCTCTCGGCTCTCTAGCTTCTTCGCACGCTCCTTCTCCTCCTCCTCCTCTCCTACCTCCAACATCCGGGAGCTGGCCTCGCCGTAGGTCTCCCGGATCTGCGGCACGCACTGCGGCGGGTGGGGGAACGGGAGATCGGACGGAGACGAGGAGGGCAGAAACGACGAGGGCAAGGAAACAGCACAGGGACCCGAGGGACCGGGATCGAGAGCCCCGGTCACCAGCCCCTCGCCAGCACAAGTAAAGCCGACCCACACCCCAGGGTCGACGGACACGAATCTCGGCTCGAGATCTAATCTAGAACGTGACACAAAATGGGTCTCGCTCGCCGCTGCAAGCTCGATAGCTTTGCGGCTGGCGCCCCGTGAGCGTGACTTGAGGGCCTCATTCAGGGCCCTCTCATCTAGGTGGCCGCACTCGTCGACGAGTGCCAAACTACCCCGGCAGAGAAGGTCGTGCAGCGCGAGATTCCCGCGCGATGGGTCGACCTTCGTGAGAGGATCGGCTGGCATTCTTCCGTGGGGAACCCAGCGAACTCTACTCCCCACAGCCGACAGGCTGTCGCGTATCACGGCTAGCTCCACGCTATTGCGGCGATCCGCTCCTGAACCTGCGGAATTCTTCGAGAGGGTATCGAAAACTGACTTAGCATCGACCACCGCAATCCCCTGGGCGGCCTCGCTGAGCCGGCACTGAGACGAGAGCAGCACGGAGAAAGGAGATTGAGCCTTGTACCATTCTGGTCTAGGCACGTCACCAAACACAGCGTCACGCCACAGAACTTGTAGCCACTGCGCCTCAGCAGTCGCCCCAGAAAGAGCAAGCGTCTCAGCAGCAACGGTACTGGCGACAGCACGCTTGAGACGCTGCGATCGCCATGCTAAGACCGATACTCGAGCACGGCGATTCTCTCGAACCGCAGCGTCACTAGCGGTCACGAACACAACGGACACCGGATCCAGGGCCCACACGGTGATTCTTTGCTCGGCCGATCCCCGGAGAAACTTACAGGTTTTGTTGAGCATCATGGCGTCGGCTACGGTGGGCTCCGGGAGGGCAGCAGCAAGTAGAGACGCGGGTCCCGCCACGTTTGGACGCGATTCCCAGGCCAACCACTGAACCTGCGCCACAATGGTACGAAAAGAAGCGATCTCAGCCCTCGTCAGAGGGGATTCCGGGGTGGACCTGACCGAACTGATCTGGATCTTAAGTTCGAGCTGCCTGAACACATAGAAGCTGCCCCAGAGCTAATTGACAAGGGGGCATGCCAGGAGGACGCGCCGCGAAACGTCCCAAGGGACGCGCCAGGCGACGTGCCAGGGGACGTGCCATGGGGTCGCACCGTGGGACGTGCCAAGGGGACGCGCTACGGAACGTGCCAATGGATGTGCCACGGAATGTGCCAGGGGAGTCGCCACGCGACGTGCCAGGGGGACTCGCCAGGGGACGCCCCACGGAACGTACCAAGGAACGTGCCAGGTTGCAATGCTGATTGTATCGATCTTGATGTACCGTGCAGAAGTCTGTGCTGTGCTGCACCGTGCTGAATTGCGATGTGCCATGCCGCGGTTGTGCTCTATAGCATCGTGGATCGAGTCCTCCTTTGCATCCGAGTCCTGACCGAACGAATCTGGATCTTAAGCTCGAGCTGCCTGAACACATAGTATCTGCCGCAGAGCTAATTGGCAATGGGACATGCCAGGAGGACGCGCCGCGAAACGTCCCACGGGACGCGCCAGGCGACGTGCCAGGGGACGTGCCATGGGGTCGCACCGTGGGACGTGCCAAGGGGACGCGCTACGGAACGTGCTGGGGACAAGCGTTTCGCTCGAGACATCCTGTCAAAATCCTCATTCTAGACATCCGCCTGGGTGACCTGGACACGTGAAAACAAACGTTTCGCTCAACACATCCTCAACACATTCTCATGCTAGACATCCGCCTGGGCGAACTGGACACGTGAAAACAAGTAGCTCGCTCGAGACATCCTCAACACATCTTCATGTGAGACGTCCGCCTGGGTGACCTGGGCACGTGAAAACAAGCGTTTCGCTCGAGACTTTCAACACCTCCTCATTCTAGACATCCGCCTTGGCGACCTGTACACGTGAAAGCAAACGTCTCGCTCGAGACATCCTCAACACATCTTCATGTTAGACATCCGCCTGGGCGACCTGGACACGTGAAAACAAGCGTATCTCTCGAGACATTCTCAACACATCCTCATGCTAGGCATCCGCCTGGGCAACCTGGACACGTGCAAACAAGCATCTCGATCGAGACTTCCTCAACACCTCCTCATTCTAGACATCCGCCTGGGCGACGAGGACGCGTGAAACCAAGCGTCTCGCTCGAGACATCCTCAACAACTCCTGGTGCTTGACCTCTGCCTGGGCAACCTGGAGGCGTGAAACCAAGCGTCTAGCTCGAGACATCCTCAAGACCTGGGCACGTGAATCCAAGCATTTCACTTGAGAGATCCTCTAAATTCTGGTCCCCAGGAGAGGACGCTCTATAACACAAAACAAGCGTGTCGCTCGAGACATCCTCAACAAATTCTGAAAAACAAGCGTTTCGCTAAGGACATCCTGAAATTTTAGTTCGCTGGCCCTCTTCCCACTCGTCATTTATCGCAAAGGAAATCAGCCAGCCCTCTTCCAATCAGATCCGGGGGGAAACCTCTAAAAGAGAACCCTGGGCCTGAAGCCCTTTCCGGGAAAAAATCCCCCCGAGGAAGCCGTCGGAAATGATTAGACATTCGATGTCGATTCGTTGATTTTCTGGGCCGTAGAACCCCCCCTGGGGACCTTACAAAAAAACGATCTGGCTGGTAAACGCCGATCCGACTTGACCCCGCGAGGGGTCCAGGGGCCCAGTGCGAGCCGATTGTTCAAGGCAGCCAGACCATCGAGCCTGGCAGCCCGCCTTACTATTCTCTGACATCCGTCCTCGCCCGCCGCAGCTTCCCCCGCCGCCGCCGCCGTCGTCGTCTGCGTCGTTGTCGCCGTCGCAATTTCTGTACATTCCCTGGAGTTTCCCGAAGTCTTCGGGCTATCCGCCACGCCTCGTGCAGAGCTGTCTGGGTAGCCCAGGGAGACCTGGAAGGGGGCTCGGGGAACGTAAGGTAGCGTGTCGAAAGGAGGGGGGGCGGCCTTACGCTAATACAGTAACCCCACCAGACGGCACTTGGCGATCGAAAGCGCCCACTTCGGGCAGGCACGGCTGCGCAGGACATGGAGCCCCGATTCCGGACAGGCCTTCTCCTTTCGTACACTGCGGTGCCATGCTTTGCGATGTTACGCTTTGTGACGCAATGCTACATTTCGCAATGCCAAGCCATGGTATGACATGTTGTGCTCTGCCACGCTCCTCTACACCATGCTATGCCGTGCTATACCATGCATCGCAAACCCTCTCGGGATGATTGCCTTGCTCGACATCAGCCTGTGCGCATAAAGAGTAGATCTGCGCCATGGTAAGGGTTGGGAGGGAGGGGTATGACGACAGAGATGACGCGAGCGCACCTAGCTTGCCCTCCCCCCCTCTCCTTCTGACCCCCCTGCCCCTCCCCCTCTCCCTCTGCCCCCCTCCACAATTACTCAATATGACTACTACTCTCCCTCTTCCCCTGATGACGGTTTGAAAGTGCTCGACCCCCCCCCGCGTACTGTTTTTACACACAGGTTTCCCCGGAGTTGGGTTTTCGCCTGCATTTGTTTTCTAAATGCTGCTCTCGCTGAGGCGCCGGCCTCATTTTCGGGCCCCGCTCGTTCCGAATCGTGCTCCCGCTGCAGCGCTGGCCTCATTTCCGTGCTTCCGCTCGTTCCGAATCGTGCTCCACCTGCAGCGCTGGCCTCATTTCCGCGCTTCCGCTCGTTTCGACTCGTGCTCCCGCTGCAGCGCTGGCGTCATTTCCCGTGCCGTACCACGGCATGCAATGCAATGCTAGGTTGCGTTCCGCTGCGCGATGCCATGCCTTCAACTGAAGCTGTGCTATGCAGTGCTTAAGTGCCACGTCGTGCTATGCCATGATACGCGTTGATCTTCAACGCCATGCTATGCAATGCTATGTTCGGGGCCGCTGTGCGATGCCATGCTTTGCGTTGCAAAGCTTTGTGATGCAATTCTTCACTACGCCACGCCACGCCATGCTGTGACATAATACACTTTGCGGTGCTCTTCTACGCCCTGCCATGCCGTGCTCTACAATGCATCGCGTACCCTTTCGGGATCATTGCCCTGCTCGACATCTGACTGTGCGAGTAGAGAGGGGATCTACGCCATGGTAAGGGATGGGAGGGAGGGGTAGGATGTCAGTTATGACGCGAGCGCACCTAGCTTGCCTCCCCCCCCCTCTCCGTCTCCCCCCTCCCCCTTCCCCCCTCCCCCTAGCGAAGATTTGGGTCTGATATAGGGCATGTGTAGTATCTGTTCTTATCAGTTGAAAGCATTGCTTAGCTTCGCTTAGAGGACTGTATGACTGTAATAACATCGGGGCTCAAGCTCTTTGAAAACAGAGCGATCTCCGCTCTGGTAGCGGAGCCGCCCATCGGGCGGCGCGCGCGCGGCCCCGCCCCGGCAGGCCTTCGCGAGCCGCGATATCTTCGCGGACCCGGTCATCAAGCAGGTGATCAGCGTCACCAAGGAGGTGCGCAGCGCTACCAAGCAGGTGCGCAACATCAACAGCGTCTTCGACGTGATTATTCCCTACAGCGACCTCCTCAGCGCTACGGCCTGGCGAGGCTTCACACCCGGTAAAGTTAACGACATCCCGATTGACATCACACCCGGTAAAGTTCACGATATTCTACTATTCTACACCCGGCGAAGTTCACGATAGTCTACGTCTTTCACACTCGGTGAAGTTCAAGATAGTCTACAGGTATCTCATTGTGAAGTTCAAGATAGTCTACGGTTGATACCATGGCGGATTACTCACGACCTCAGACTCTACCCCTGGAGGAGAGTACACGGCAGGTTCCTCCCGGCTGGAAGCCGGGCGTTCCGAAGTACAGCGTGAAGAAATACTTGCAAAAGTTGTCTTTGTGGTGGAGAACCAAAAACGTTGATGACGACGGAGTGGCAACTCTTCTTGTGTTGCAGCGTCTTCAAGGAGGAGTGTACAAGCAGGCGTTGAGGTTCAAGGTTGAACGAGACGGCAGAGAGTACATCGGAGAAAACGCGTTCGCCCTGGAGAGAACGGAGGCAGACGAGCTACACGGAGCACAAGCGCATCCCTCAGGACTTTCTCTCTTCACTCGTTGGCTTGAAGGCGAATATGGACTGCACGATCAAGACACAGTCGGAGTTGCACTCGACAAATTCTTTTCATTCAAGAGAGGGCCCCGAGATCTCGGGCAATACATTTCAGATTTCGAACTTGTGTATGATGAAGCGGCAGACCAAGCAGGACTCAATATCAACGCAGTTGGACGGAGTTACTTGTTGCTTCAGGGATGCGACCTCTCCATCAAGAAGGTCGACGACATCGAACTCAAGATCGACGGGGACCTCAGACGGTATAATGACATCAAAGCTATCATGACGCGTCTCGCCAAGCAGTCACTGGCCCAGAACAACCCAGAACAGTACGAGGGCTTCTGGGTCGACTCAGATGAAGAAGAGTACTGGGATTACTACGGCTACTACGACGACTACGGCCAGTGGCAGTACTACGAGGACGACGAATGGTGGGACGAGGAAGAACAATATGACGAGCAGTATTCTCCACCTACGGCTTCGGCAGCAAATGACGAGGCGTACAAGGGATCCGGCAAGGGCAAGAAAGGAAACCCAGGCAACTGCTGCAAGTGCGGCTCGAGATGGCATCGATCTGAAGACTGCCCTGCCGGAGGCAAGAAGGACACCAAGAAAGGCGACGACAACAAAGGGAACGGCAAGAGCAAGTCGGACTCGAACAACGGCAAGGGCAAGCATCGTGGCGGAAAGGGCCGCGGTCGAGGCAAAGGACGAGGAAAAGGTTACCGTGGCAGAGGCAAAGGCAAAGGCAAGAAGAGCAAGGGCCACTACGGTGATGACTACGACGAGGAGTACTACGACGATAATTGGGACTGGAGAACCACTCACGGCAGTTGGTATGCGACGAGAACCAAGACCCAGAACAAGGACGCGCTGTGGACCTTCAACACTCGAGCAGAAGTTCATCATGGTTCATCCTGGTCTTCACTGCAGACAGTACCCTCCTACAGCCTGGACGACCCGGAGTCACCAGACATGGGACAAGGATTTCAGGAGACCTTCTCAGCGTCAGCATCGAAACCCACCTCGGCTCCTTCGGCACAGGCAGCAGGACCAGCATCACCAAGACCGACTCGGAGAGCTACGACTGGAGACTTCATGTCAGACATGGGCTCTCCTGGTCATGCCTCTACCTTTGACGATGACGAGGAAGCCGAACCCCGTCGCCTACCTCGCGGAATCGTTCCTGGAGGTTTGGATTTTCTTGTCAGAGAAGTTCAGAACTTGTGCTACGAAGATCAAGTATCACAGCAGAACAATCACAACGTGCACGAGGTCAACACGAGCTATCATTCTATCAAAGGCACCAAGAGGTTTGGTCTGCTTTACGATCCTGGCGCGTCGTCAGGCATCATCGGCACGGACGCGGTACGGGAATATCAGCAGGAGATTCTCGGCGGCGCAGAGATCGAATCCAGACCAACCCGAGCTCAGTTCACGGGCATCGACGGCGAGCCTACACCCGGCATCGGCAAGGCGATCGTACCATTACGCATCCCAGCCATGAAGGACGCGACGTTCACGGGAGACATGATCGGAGGCATGGGAAGCTGGTGCCCGGCTCTGATGCCATTGCCAACCTCGATCAGATACAGGGCCATCATGTTCTCGGCGATGTTCGACAACGGTGACGGCATCCTGGTGATCTTCCCTGACAATCGACGACTTGGCAATCGAGCTACACCAGTGTATATCAGGCTCCTGTTGACGGACTCTCGGCACTACATCATCCCGACGGACAACCAGCATATCCGAGAAGAAGTTGATCAACAATATCTTCATGGAGTTCTTCTGGACCATCTTCAAATATTCTGGGACTTCAAACCATCCCGCTCTGGAGGCAGATCGGCGGAGTTTCAAGTGGATACAGCGCCCGCGGACACTAGCACCGGAGCGAAGTCATCGACTTTTTCGGGCATGAGCAAGGATACGACCAACCCAGAAATTCTGAAGCAGCTGGACCATCTCAGCAAGAGCATCGAGAGCATCAAGGATCACATCGGCCAGCCCGCAGCTCCCAACACGCACCACTTCGTGAGCATGAAGACGGCATTCGCTGGACACAGTTGTGGAGACGACAAGTGCACTCAAGACCACCAGTATCCTACGAGGAAAACGACTATTACAAGAACACAAAACTTCTGGAAGGTCTGGGGCATGTTCAAGGGCAGCGGCTTTACTGGCGATATGATTCCAGACGGCCTGAATCCGGCACAACAAGAACGAATGCAGAAGGACTACCAGGGTATCCCAGAGAAGTTCTACACCAAGACGAAACTGACGGTTATTACCCCCAGAAATGCGGACAGCTTCCTGAAACATCTTCAAAATTACAAGATCACGAGCGTGGACATGCAGGAACACTTCTCGGGAAGCAGTACCTTGTCATTCTGGGCATGGAGGTGCGAATTCTTTGTATTATTCCCAACGGATATGAGATGCGGCTGGAACCTCGGGCTGAAGGAACACCAGGACATCATTGCCAGATTTCAGAAGGCCATCCGTATCCAGGTGAAATTCTACACGCCAGAGTGCACCCCCTGGTCACAGGCGAGTCAGACGGCAGATCCAGAGAGAAAGGCAGCGAATCGCTCAGCAGATCTTCCAGCACTTCAATGGGTATCCGACGAGTGCAAGAACACGAACCTGGACGGCACGGACTACGTCATAGAGAACCCGGCCAAGAGCGCGATCTGGGAGGAGTCACCTTTGAAGGAGCTGCAGAGCGACGAGCGCATGTACAACAACATCTGCGACCAGTGCCAGCACGGAGCTCAGGACGCAGAAGGCACACCCATCCAGAAACGGACGAAGTTCATGGCATCCTTTCGCATGAGGAGAACGGCAATTCAGTGTCAATGCGTACGTCCCCATGCTTGGCTCGTTGGAGGCGCCCAGACATCGAAGGCCAAGATCGTCGCAGAGAAGCTGTGCAAGAACATCTTGAAGGACATCGGCAAGCGCATCGAGATGACGCTCAAGACACCATTGGACCTTCTTTTCTGGACGTGCGAGAGGTGCAAGCATGGAAAAAAGGCAGGGACACCACATACTAGAACAAAAGGGTGCAGGTTCGATCCCAACCGGAATCCTCCTGGAGTTGCTGGGCCACCACCAGTACATCTCCCTACAGCTCCTGCGGAAGCAGTAGCACCGGCTCCTGTGCCTGCAGCACCGGCACCAGCAGCAGTTCCTGTACCAGAACCAGCGGCAGCAGTTCCACAGCCACCAGCTCATGAGCCAGACTCAGAAGTTCCAGAACCACCACCAGGACTTGATCCACAAGAAAAGGAGACGAGTTCTAAGGGCGATACCACGGACCAGCCGAGCATCAGCAGTAAATCACCCAAGAAGGAAATAGCGATCAAGCCCAATTTCGACTTGCAGCGCTTCCAACATCAACTCGAAGAGGCGGCTTCGGATCAAGCACGACTGGCATTGCTCCTGGGATTTCATCTGAAGTTCTGGCACGCTACACCTGATGAGATGGCGAGACTACTGGCGGCCCTTGGAGTGGAACCGAACATCATCAAGCTTTGCCCACAAGTGGTCAAGGATCTGTGCGAAGGTTGTCGCAAGTATGCTATGCCGTTACACCGACCAGCGTTTCGCGCACGCATCACAACGAAGTTCAACGAGCGAGTTCAAGGCGATTTATTCTTCCTGTGGGACATGACATGGCTCATTCTAGTGGACGAGCACATCAGATACAAGGTCATTGGAGTGATGAAGGACAAGACGGCCCCAGAGTACCTACGTTGTATGGGAGAATGTTGGATCAGATTCTTTGGGCCTATGGAGACATTCGTATCGGATCAGGAAGGAGCTCTAACCTCGGACCTCGTTGGAACGACGCTGGACAGGTACACGATCAAGCGAGAGTTTGCCGGCACGGACCCGAACAAAGAGGAGAAGAGTACTACTGGATTGGTGGAATCTCATTCGTATGACCAAGTCTATAGCGTTGAAGAACGAGGTGGTCGCCAAGCGAGAGGGCCTCAACATCTCCAAGGAGACGCTAGTGTACGAGGCGTCGATGGCGCAGAACTTATTGCTCAACTTCGGTGGAAGCACGCCCGCCAACGCACTTCTCGGCTACACTCCTAGGGACTTCTACGACGAGAACTCGGCGACCACCATGGCCCACAAGGGCGCGCTCGAGATTTCACCCGACACGTTTGAGTCGAACGTACGTATGCGATTGTTATCCAAGCAGAATGTCCTGAAGACGATCGTTGAGGAACGCCTCGCCATAGCCAACAAGTCTCGACCACAGAAACTGGACATCGAGAGGATCAAGGTCGGTGACAAGGTGGACTTGTATCGCACACCGAGCAAGAAGGATCAAGAGGGCTGGCGAGGACCATGTGATCTACTACATATGAAGAGCACAGGAGCGATCGTGGTATGGAATGGATATCCCTACATCGTTCCACTGCGGCACATTCGGATTCATCAGAGACTAGCAGCTTGGACCAACAGCTACGAGCGTCAACATACAGCATCTTCACCTTCGATGTACTTGGTCACGGATTATACCGACATGCTTGACATTGTGGAAGGCACGGTTCCGTTCAAGCCGCAGATCGTGGGCATGCTGATTGGCGCCGACGGCAAGATGCGAGCTTCATCCAGTATGGGAGAGACACCTCCCAAGGTTTGGAGTCTAGCTCAGCAGTGCGCAGAGGACGAATGGGGAATCAAAATCGACGGTATTGTCTTTGGCAGATGTGTTCGACGGTTGTACGCGGTTACTGGAGCTACTTTCGGACGACAGGTGACTTGGGACTGCGCGAGACGCGATCAGTATGTGACAACGGACATCAATCCCAGCAGGCAGGTATTGGACAACATCAATGCCATTCCGAACATGAGCGACGTCAATGCGTGCAGCATCCTGTTCTATTCCTTCTCATCAATGGCAGAAGACGAGGAAACGAAGAAGTATGTCATCCCCGACTTCTCGGACATCTCGGCGATCGATCCCGACGACGAGAGCATGCTAGACCTACCTCTTCAATGGCCTCTATCACCTGATCGTGACCCAGTGGCGGAAGAACAACAACAAGGAGGACAACCACCGCCACCTGGACCGCCTCCGGCACCAGCAGTGGCAGTACAGCATCCTGGACATGGACATCCTCAAGCAGCAGAAGTACATCCTGGACTTGGACCTCCTGCTCCACCAGCTCCTCCGGCAGCTGGAATCCGACTTCTACCCGAACACGATCAACTACCACTTCCAGCAGGACTGCCATACGGCGGAGGACCACCTCCGGGACCTCCACCTGCTCCTGGACGAACAGTGGCAGCGGCTCCAAGCCCGCAGACATTCGACATCAGCGACACGGCATGGCCGGATGGAGACGTCAGCATCATCGAGGCGGACAGCAACATCCCGCCAAGACCACCGTTTCCACCGCCGGCTCCGCAGCGAGTTACCTTGCGCGACGACAACAGCTGGAAGCGAGATCGACAGGCACTGGACGA